GAAGTGGGAGGTCATGCAGCTTGTGAATAAATCATATCAGATCGTGGATCAGTCCACTTGAAGTGTCCCAGTCTACCATTTCAGAATCAAGAGGGAGGGGTGAGGGGAGCTTCTTAAGGGGAGGGGGGTAATAACTTTCTTGCTCTGAAAAGGGAGGCTTATTTGAGTAATTTATTGTACACACACGCTGTCAGACTACCTAAGTGGGAAATCTCACGCCAAAAATGCAAGATCTAGAATATTGTGCAATACAAACAGGTTTGTACAAGCACGTTGTTAATAATCTAAAAATACGCTTACACTCATGTGAGAGTTTACTTTAAACGCTTGAACTTTATAAAGATACAAAGTTCAAATTTTTAAGGTTAAGTTAAGTGGTCTTACGTATATGGGACAAAAACATCGACGTTCATTTTTTTATAAAGAAACTCTGTACTGCACTGTAGTGTCATCAATTAATAAGCTCATATAAGAAAGAAATCACAAGCCGTAAACCTTAAAGGTTTAATAAGAGCTTACCGCAAATAACGAATCCAAGTCTTTGAGGTTTAAGGTTATCAAAAATTCAATCATTGTGCCATAATGTTTGGAGCTTTTTTAAGCTTATTCCGCGTAAAAAATTAACATCCACAAATACTTCACTTTTGTTTCGTCAAGCTAAGCTTGAGAGGTTTAACTTATAAACAGAGGGCAGAAACTATCTTTAACTGCTTTTTGTATCAAAATGCCCTTTCGAGAATGGGCAACACGCCACAGAACTTTGACAATAAGACAAAGATATTTGACAATATCTTTTCTCGACTCCATGCGAATGAACGCGGTGCTCATGGTGAAACTTTTTGCTACCTAAGCGACGGGTAAGTGATTTTGAAACTTACCTTGTCCACTTCGTCATCAATGATGTTAGAGAAGACTCCACCAACACTAAAAATTAACCCTAAAACCAGAAGCAACAATCCAGTGACCGCAAGACAAATGATCAAAGCCGTCCTTGAGCAACAGGAGCAACAAGTTCCCTCCGATCTCTTCTTTGACGGCATTGTAGATGAACGAAGAACCTGAATTGTAGGAATTCGAGCTGCAGTGACGGAAGTGTTGCTTTCAATAGACTGTCGCAACGTGTAAATAGCACCTTTTTTGGCCAATCCTCCGAAATCGGAAACGCCTAATGAAATCTTCCTGTCAACCCACACCTCCAAATCTTGCGCTCAAATTACGGACGTAGTTCCGAGCTTCAAAAGATGAGGTTCGTATAGTTCCAACTTCTCCCAATAAAAGCGTTTGTTGTTCTGCACCAGAAACCCATAAGGGGTTTTCAACTCCTTATGAGTTTCTGTCTGCACTTATTTGTTTACCAGCTGATGCATGATTCTACAGGGCTCGTAAGACAAAGCCTTGCTGGAGCCCCCGGGGGGGGGGCACTTGGGTATTTTTTGGGTGGGTATGTGCCGCCCGGGACTCCAAATTGGCACCCCGTTCTAGAAAAAATTTCCCCTAAAATTGATACCCCGTTCTAGAATTCGCCCTAAAACTAATACCCCGTTCTAGAAATGGGCCAATTTTTTATACTCCGTTCTAGGGTGTAACAAGAGTACAACGGTTTGCTTGTTAACGCATTGACCGTATTTTTTTCCTTGAATACTTTCAAATGGCTGCTTACAAAAGTGGAGAGCTTTCGTGGGTTCGAAATATTATACCCCGTTCTAGAAAACGCCTCTGAAATGGATACCCCGTTCTAAATCAGGAGCTTCAAAATCACGACCCCTTTGGGCGGCACATACCCATATAGGTAATGTATGGGAGTACCCC